TTGCTTGATGTCACTTTGTCTATTTTTTAAAGAATTGAATACTCAGAAGGGGTTTCCTTTCCTTTCTTCTGGGGTCACCTTGAGATCATGCAGCTTGCCCCAAGCTACAGAGGCTGATTTTGGCTAGGCATAGCCTAATCCTGTGGTAACAGCCACATCCCATTTCCCCCAGTAGATCAGTTACCCAGTATAGATCAACAGATTGCAGGCCATGCTTTCTTGAGCATAACTGAGGCTTGTTGCTCTATTTGATTTCCAGCAACACAAAAGAATGCATTTCTGAAATCTGTTTCAAAGCATTCTCTTGTCTGTGAGGGGCACCAAAGAAAGCTCATTGTTCTGTGCAGCTCATAAAATGAAATGAAATGGGGGGAAAAAAATAAGCATCACAGAAAAACAGACCGTGTCACCAAAAATACTCCATCTCCTTGATTTTTCTTGTATCTTTTGTCCTCTTCCTGATGTTCAGCCTCCATCCCTGGGGTTTTTTGCTTATGAGTGGTCGTCATCTTTCAGAAAAAGTGGAGCCCAATATTTGAGACCGCTGACGTTTGTCAGTGGCTTCAAAGCCACCTCCTGTGGGAAGCTCCTTCATTAGAGCCGCAGAGGCTCATCCGGATTGTTACAGAGATGTCCTGGCCAGGTCCAGAAACAGAAACATGGAGCAGAATAAGAATACCACAGGGCAAGCAGTGTAGAAGGGAACACCAGACAAAAAACTTAGTTACTGAAAAAAACAACAACAACACGTGAAACACAAACGTGGCGGGGCTTTAAAGACCCATGGTTGTATTTCAGTTTGAGCATTCATGGATACCTCCACTTCTCCCGACACTATAGAGTGTGGTAAAACCACAGGTTATATGCAGGAAATGAATGTGCAAGATGCCAGTAGCATTCTTGACACATATTAATTGACTGTAAGGGTGCTGATTGCATAAATCTCATGGTTTCAAGGGAGCCTCTCACACTTGGCAGACTGATCTGTGAAATGCAAAAGTGTGGGGCAAGCAGCCAGAGTTACATTTGGTTGAATGCTTTGAGTCTTAAAGCAGCAGTTATTGGATTCTTACAGTCAGCATCTGATTCTGGTATAAGATCTGGGAGTTTGATCTAAAGAACCTCTTGATCCAGGTTATGGTGGCGGCTCATAGCCACGGATAGACCTTTCCCCCAGGATGCAATACACGGCACATGCCCTAAGTGTGGTGCTCCATGTGTGCTGTAATTACACATGGGGATGAATATAAAAACAAATCCTGATATTCGCTGAATATCACTGATTTGTCAAATTTGTATTCATCCATTTCAGAGAATAGGAAGGGAGAAATAGAACTGTTTTATATTGATCTGTTTGTAGGGTATTCCTTCTCTGCCTATGCCCCTGCAGATCCACTGTTCCTCGGGGGTATAGGCAGAGAGGGAAAGCTTGACTGCAAGACAATCATGCCCCAGCTGTCAATCCGTGCTGTCTTTGAACCCCACTGTCTTCGAACCGATTCGTAGTTCGTCACTTCACCATGACGAAATTTGTGGTTCCCGGTTTGTCAACCTCAACAAACCACGAACCAAGAAGAACCACCATTTGGGCGGTTGATCCCCATCTCTAACTGTAATCCACAAAAGCTCACGCTAGGATACATTTGCCCATATTAAGGATTCTACAGAACTGTAGATTCTTGATCCTGGCAGTGGTGTTTTAAAACAAAACACAACTTGAAAGCCACTTTTCCCCCCTGCCCTGCTTTGACTCTATTGATAGTGGTATCCACCCTGCGTTGTGTGGGACTAGGAGGCAGGAGCATGCCTGCAGTCAAAGCTACACCCGTGGATTTGACCGAGGGGGGGGGAGAGAGGTATGGGATTTTTCTCAACCAGCCCTTTTGAGGTGAGCTACTATCAGTTGTGGGGAAAGCAGAACATGAGGTTTCATTTGGGGTTTCCTTAGGAAAATACAGTGGCCAGGAATAATTTGGTGGGGGCAGAGAGAGATGGGGGAGAAAGAGGGGGACAGGGCACCTCCAGAGCTACAATGGAGAGTTGGAGGCTGTTGAGCCATCCATCTCCCCCTTTCAATTTTCCCCCCATGGTCTCCCTGCACCTTCTCCCTTCCAACAGTCATCTTCTTCCCTCCTTACCCTTCTGCCAGGTTTCTGCCTCTCTTGGTGGCAAGGACATTTTTATATCCATCATCTGACAGGGTAGACAGATTTCTGCCGCCGCCCTAAGGGGTCGTCCCCCAAGTTCCCAGGACAGACACGACCCCCGTAGCCTCGGTTTGCATCCCGGTTTCCCGGGAATGACTTAGGTTCCGGGGAAGTGATGCTCTGTAAAGGTGGGTGCAGCCATCCGAGCAGCCGTCAGGGCGAAAGGCTTAGGTCCGTGGTTGGATGGCGTGGCGACAGGGCATCCGTGGCCCTGTCCCCCTCACCGCCCGGAAACAGATTGGCAGCTGGTGAAGCTGTTGCTTCATTTAACCAGCACCGAGCAGCAATCTGACGGCAGCCTTTTGATCATGCTGAATTTTGCTTTTATGGGCTACCCCTCTTTGACTTGAATATGCATAATTTAAATGTGCCCAGTTTCTGCAACCTGCTTTGAACGTTGAAAGGGAAATTAGTAGCCAGGCAGCTTTGACACTTCAGCACCTTCGCTTTCATTGCTTATTTCCTCCACAGGGAAACCCATTAACAAACCGAGCTCCTTGCCTCCCTTCCCTGTTCGCCTTCTGCCCCGTTCATTATGCTCACAACACCCCTTGATTATCACCCAGCCTCCGAAGAGCTGAGCAATCCACCGCCACCCAGGCAGCGAGTGTTAACACGCTCCTCGCCCTTGTTAGCCAGCACTTCAATTCCCGTGTTGTGCTCAGCTTATGGTCTTGTTGCCTGATTATTTTAGATGTTAAATTTGGCAATTAAGAGTCTGTGCGGCTCCGGATGGCAGCTCGCGATGCTTTCTGGAATTAAAAACAAACCAAAAAAATCAATTCCTTGCCTCTAAGGCTAAGCCCTCGACCTGTGACAGCGCCACCGACCCTTCCCCAGCATTGTGAGATCCGTGAACCCCTTGCTTTGTCCAGAAGGCTGCGGGTGTGCTGATCTAAGGCACAGAAGTGCGATGCAAATGGACAGGGAGGTCATGTGCCCTCAAGACAAATCTCACCTTCTAGTGGCTCTCAGGGACCTTTCAAGGTAAGTGAGATGATACTGAAGGAGTAGGTTTACCAGTGCTAAACCTCCTCCCCCATGAGGAGCCAAACAGGGATTCAAACCTAGGTCTCCTGAGTCCTTCTCCATCCGTCTATCCACTACACCACACAAGGTATCTAAAACAAATGGGAAGCCGTCTCCATCAAATCAAGCCATGGGCGTGTCCTCCTCCTCACCTTCTTGTCCCTCATTGTGGTGAGACTCGGGACTCCTCTCGCCCTGGCAGCCGTGGCACGTGTTATGAGAGGCATTTGTGCATTTGGGAGACCCATTGAGCTTGGCTTAGCATTAAAAATAACCAGGTCCTGTCAAGTCAATTCTGAGTTATGGTGACCCTTTTCTGGGTTTTCCGGGTAGACAGTACTCAGAAGTGTATTACCATTCCCTCCCTCTAGGGGTGCCCTGGGACTATTGTGCAGCTGACCCAGGGCTACACAGGCTGGCTCTACGTGCAGGGGCCCTAGTGGGGGAATCAAACTCCCAACCTCTAGCTCTGCAGCCAGAGACCAAAGCCGCTGAGCTATCCAGCAGTCAACTCTCGACTTACAAACGTAATCCATTCCGGAAGGAAGTTTGTAAGTCGAAAAGTTCGTAAGTTGAATCAGCATTGCCCATAGGAATGCACTGAAAACCAATTAATCCATTCCGACTGTTTTTGGTTCTTAGGTCGAGGGGCGGTTTGTTACTCGAATCATTAGTTCCCATAGGAACTAATGCAAAGCTGGTTAATCTGTTCCTAGCACTAGGGGCAGATTTTTTTTCCTTTTTTTCCCTTTTAACCTAAAACGAGTGAGGGAAGGAGAGAACAGATACCTTTTCAGCAGAACAACTTGAATAGCACCTTTTCAGCCAAGACAAGCCAATACAAGCACCTTTTGGGGAAAAGGGGGGCAGCAAAGGAGGGAGGGAACACCTTTTTAAAATCCAAAAATCAAAAATTTTTAAAAAAGCCAAAAAATAAAAATACAGTCCATACAGTACTGTGCCAGGCAATATCAGGCAATACCAGGCAGTCTGAAGACTGTCTCCAGATCCACTCTCAAAACGCTGGGAAGAGCGAGGAAGCAGACAGGCACCCTTTTCACTGGCCAACGGTTAACTGAAAGTTCAAATTTCGTGCTTTCCCCACCTCCCACGCGTTTTTTCAGTTTGTAACTCGAATCTAAGTTTGCACATCGAGTCAATATTTTTCTATTAGCGGTTTGTAAGTCGAAATGTTTGTAACTAGGGTCGTTTGTAAGTCAAGGGTTGACTGTAGCTATATAGTATGTCTTTTCAGGAGGGAAATATAATGTTGCCTGTGGTCATATCCCTACCTGAGGAAAGTTCCCTGGACGGGTCTTTTCTGGCCAGGCAACCAGAGCATAAGGACCTGGCCGTGCTTGTTCCAAGAAAGGGCTTTGTAAGGGACGAAGGACACTTTCCATCTTTCCTTGACTGTGTTAGAGCGGCGGTTGCCAAACTAGGGTCGCCCAGGTGTTCGTGGACTGCAGTTCCCAGAAGCCTTCACCCCTTGTCGAGCTGGCCAGGATTTCTGGGAGTTGCAGTCCAAGAACCTTTGGGTGACCCCAGTTTGAGAACCACTGGGCCAGATGATCACCATTCATAAGTCTGGATTGTCAGCTGGGAAGGCGTTCCATGAGAAAGTGGTGGGATCCTCTTTCTTGAGCTTTTGAGGAAGCTTTACTGTATAGTACTGGAGTCACCCTAGAGCAAGTTTCTCTGTCCTCCCCTGGTCTTTCCTGTGGCTTTAACCCTTTTGCACCTGCTCCTTTGGTCTTCCACCAGGCCCACGTCTTCGATCTGAGCGTCAACAAATATGAGCCCATCTGCAACCAGCCAGTGGTGGCCAAGAAAAAGAACAAGATCACGCATGTCCAGTTCAACGCCATCTACCCCATCATCATCATTGGAGACGACCGCGGCCACGTGACCTGCCTGAAGCTTTCTCCCAACCTTCGCAAGATGCCCAAGGTAAGTCCTGCCATGGCAAGACCCAGTCGGCCCCCAAGGCTGTCTCTCCTTGAAGGCTCGGCGCCCTGGCTGGCCACGCTGAACGCAGGTGGTTTGTGAGCTTCTGCTGAAGGAATGCATCGTGAGCGCTTGATGTTGGCCCACTGTCGCTTCTGGCAGAGTGCCATGAAGTTCGTGGTTTTACTTTGGGCCATTATCCATGGGATGTTTGGATCTAGAGGCAGTCATGCCCCTGAGCATCTGTTTGGGCAGGACAGGCAACGTCAGAAGGAAAAAACTAAGCTCCCATTGGTACACATCCTGGAGACATCGCGTTGTGTCTGACGGAAAGGGTTCTTCTGGACTTGATAGACTTCTGTCTGATGCCTCTGAGCTCTTTGGGTGTGTTTATGACCCTGCATGTCGTCTTGGTCTGGCCCTTGAGCCATCATGGTTTGGTGGGGGGGCACCTTGTCCCATGGATCCTTTTACTCTGCCGTTGCTCCTTTTCCAGACGGGTTGCCCTCCCAGAACCCCACTAGTCTTAACAGCGGTGTCTGAGTCTCAACAGCAAGTCTGCATCTCCTCCTGCCAAGTTGTGGGGAGGTGTCTCCAGCTAAGTCCTCAGCTGCCACATTTGTGGTGATCATGTCCAGTTGTGCCAGCTGTTCTCTACCACAGCAGCCAAAAGCAAGGCAGGGTAACAAGGAGGACTATCTCTGACCAGTAGCCAGAAGTCATTTCCAGTGGCCATCCCAAATGCTCTCCTTGGCTCTGTCTGTCTTGAGATTCATGGGCTTGACGTGGCTTCTGTGCCCCTTCCTACGGTTGACCTCATGACTGGATTGTGGGGGAGAGAGAGAGAGACTTCATCTTCTGTCTACTCTTGTGCTTCCCAGTGAGGGAAACATCCCAGGATCTCTGCAGTTACAAGATATAGCACAGACCTGTGTCTTTACGCTGGGAACATTTGCAAAGAGAATAATAGATTAACACCATATTATTATTTAATGTTGTTGAAGAAAATTTGAAGGGAAATGAGACTTTTAACAAACCATGTCCACAGACGTTTGCAAGCAAGAAGGTGAGGGATGCTGTTTACCACTGAATCCTAGAATAGAGAAGTTGGAAAGGCCCTCTAAGGCCATCCAGTCCAACCCGCTCCTCAAGGCAGGAATCTAGGTTGAAGTATACCTGACAGGTAGCTGCCTAATTTTCTCTTGAATGCCTCCAGCGTTGGAGCACTGCTCACCGACTCCCGAACTCCTTGGATCTATTGTCACACTGCACAAATAATTAGGAGGTTTTTCCTGATATTCAGCTTAAATCCAGCTTCCTGTAGCTTGAGTCCTTTATTACGTGTCCTGCACTCTGGGATGACGGAGAACAGATCCTGCCTCTCCTCTACATGACTAACTTTCAGGTCATTGAAGAGTGTTATCATATTATCTCCCCTCGGTCTTCTTTTCTCAAGGCTAAACAAGCCCAGTTCTTTCCATCTTTCCTCTTTATAGGGATTGGTTCCCAGCCCCCTGGTCACCCTGGTCACCCTCCTCTGAACTTGCTCCAGTGTGTCAGTATCCTTTTATGACGTGTGGTGTCTAAAACCGTACTTATCCTTCTTTCTCCTGCTCTTTCAGTGTATTTTTTCAGGGGATGTAAAGGATGAGGAAAGGAAGAGATAGTAGAAGGTGTGACAGCCCCGGTTTCTTTGCTGTGAAAAAAGGGTGCAAAAACAGGTCAAAAGTAAGATTAGAAGGGTTGTGTTTGTGTGTGGCTGCGCTCATAGACTTGTGTGTCCCAGACAAGGGTTGAGGAAAGTAGACTAACATGTTGATCAGACTGAGAAGGTGAATCCACTCCAGGGGCTTCACACACCCTGGCATTAACAAACTTGGAGAGTCCCCTGTCTTTCTGCAGCTGGAAGTTTACTCTGGTGGGTATAGTTTTCTTTTCCATAGGGCTTAAGTCTGCCTGGCCTCCCGGGGGACTGTCTGGTTGCAGAGGTGGCTAAGTCTGGCTGCTATAAGTGCTTGTTTTGGAACTTACCTCACTCCACTTCCTGGAGCCTTAAGGATGCTTGCAGCATTAGTTATAGTTCTCCTTCGTGGCCAGTGCGACTAGACACAGAACACTGCGACCTTCCCACCGAGATGGTCTCCATTTATCTACTTGCATTTTTGCATACTTTTGAACTTTCTTTCTTTACCAATCCCTATTATATTTTTCCAAATCAAGTACGCTCCGGCCTTAGGGCTGAAGCAACCCCACCCCCTTTTTCCCAGTTTTTAGTTCATGGCCTCTTCAGGCCCGTTCGATATAATTTGTATGTAAAGCAGTGGCCAGAATCTAGTTAAAAATTATGTCGGCTTAACTCCATCAGCCTAGCTTTCAGTTACAAGTTAAGAATAGCAGCTACTCAGGCTGATTTGCAGGAAACAGAAATGAGAAGAAAGCGTGACATAGAGTTTCCAGTGCTGTCCAGTCTCATCTCATTAGTTCCTGTTCAGTGTGGAGCACCTGGTTGTTCTGGATCGTCCCGTAGTCAGTTCCTGTTTCCATTGGAACATCACTTGAGTTGCTTCTCTTGTCAGTTACTTTTCCTTTTCCATGGTGGGCAACAGTGCGGTTAATGAGGTGAAGCTATTAATTAAACCCCCACACGGGAAGTAAGCAGTTGCCAGATTCAGGACAATTGATCACTCATGTCCGACTGCCTTGGAAGGACAACTTTTAGAGGCCGAAGCGGCAAGAGAGAAGTGGCTAATTAAAAGCACAGCCACGGGAAGTAAGCAGTTGCCAGATTCAGGACAATTGATCACTCATGTCCGACTGCCTTGGAAGGGCAACCTTTAGAGGCCGAAACGGCAAGAGAGAGGCGCCTAATTAAAAGCACAGTAGCCCTAGAAAGCCTCAAATCTGCTTTTCTGCTCAACGGGAGAGTCTGGTCCTGCAACTGCATTTCTCGTTGGGAAGTGGGGGTGGAGGAAGGAAAACCGATGCAGATCAGGTCTAAATGAAAATGGAAGAAGAGAAAGCATTAGAACACAGCGGGATGGGAGTGGCGTTTTGCTTAGAATTTTATTGTTTTTTCTCAGGGAGACAACAAAGCAGTCTGTAATAAATAATCTATTGTCATGCAAATAGGGCATCTGAGTTATAAAGGAAATGTTCGAACGGTGTGCTGTTGGAGCTCAAGGTACATTGGTAATGCTTCCCTTTTTTAAGCGAGAGCTGTTTCATATTTCAGCAAAAGCCTGGCCTTGTGTTCATGCCACGAGCCGATCATATCTTTTTGTTCCATATTTGAAGGATGTCTGAACAGCATCTGAACACAGTCAACCTGGCTACCAAGGATACGAAATCCTTTCCAACCCCCTACACTCCCCCCCCCCTTTTTTTATCATAGCTGGTCTCAGGCACTCATTGGATGAAGCTTTACTTTTTAAGACCAAGGCAAAGCTTGGAAATAATTAATTAATTGATTAATTAAAATATTATCTGCAGTTCCCAGAAACTGCCAGCCAGAAGGGGAAAAAACAACCACCACAATTTCCCAAGGGCTGCTTGGGTCTCATGAAGCAGGGCTTGGTCCAATGGGCCATTAAATCCCCATGTAGTAAGTTCAGTTCCATATGGCCAGTGACTATGCCGTCTGGCTCAGGGATTCTGGAAGACAGGGGCCAAAAGGGGTAGCTATTTCTAAGCTGTGCTTAGTTGAGCATCCTCTTTCCACATGCTTTCTAGGTGCTTCAAGAAAGTCCACAAACAGGGTATGAAAGAGGATAGCATGTGTCAAAGAAGTAATTGCCTGGAAATAAAAGTATAGGACCCTACATTGTCTGCCTTTTGAAGTCCTCTTGGCTCAGCTTATCTTATTTTGTTCTTTAAAAAATCAGTGTTATCCCCATCCCACCCCTCCTTATATCCAAAGATCTTATAACAGTGTGCTGGCAAGAAAACAGTGTTCGATGATTGAAGCAAGGCGAACCCATCTCTTTATCGGGCAGATAAAGCACTTAGCATATACTCTGTCCAACCAGCACGCGGTTCCGAAAGCGATGCCACTTCTCGTCAAGCAGGGCCATTTAGGATCGGCATCCACTTATGAAACCACTTCTAGAGCCCTGGCAGTGGCGAGCAGTAACAGAAATAAGCGCTGTGTAGCCCTGAATGATCCCCTCACGTTTAGTCTGAATAGCCCTTTTCTCCCCTGCAGGCAGGTCTTCAGAGCCGCAATGCTTTTTATAGACACTGATTCTGATTTCTCAAATTGCCTCTGACGAGCCGTCGCCAGCCATCGTTCGTGGGGGCAATGCGGGTCCATTAGACCACACACAGGTTGGGGAGGCAGACCTGTCCATGGGGTGTGTGTGTGCATACATGTGCACAGGAGTCTGCGTGGCAACATGAGACACGGACGGCTCCTTTTCAATGAGTTTGCACTCTCACAAAATGATCTACATCTGGCCTCGCTTGCATTCTTGCACACGAAACAGCCTTTTTGCCACATAATTCAATGTTTCCTGCCTATGTGACAGCCAGCAGAAGGAGCCGTCTGGGATCTGAGGGGTGGATTTACACGGGGACGTTTGTCTGAATGATGGCTTAATGAACGAGAGGAAATCTGTAATTAGAAAGGAGGCTCCTGATGTCTGTAAATGATGATCTCCGGCAGCCCTTTGTAGGCAAGTAGGAGCACGGGGGTCTCTGGAAATGAATGGATTTGCCTCCCGCCGCGTTGTGACATTTTGCACCCAGGCATTATGCAGGATATCCTTGCGGATCCAGGAAATGGAGGCTGTTCGGGAGGAAATCGTACTTTTCTTGCTGTCTGTTTGCTACAGTGGAAGTTGTACTGATCGTTTGCTTTTTAGGGAACTTGCTTGCCCTTGAATCCCTGGGGTCAAAAAGGGAAGAGGTGGGTAGCTTTGCAATTAGAAGGTGGCAAAACCTTATCATTGAAGAAATACATTCCTCAGAGTGGTCACATATATTTATTTATTTATCTATTCTTATTT